TTTTTAATGGAAAAAATAGTTTTTTGGAACATGATCTTTACTTAATGTCCTAATGATTTTTGGCATAAAAGAAAAATCAATAATTTTGACCCATACTTTTATTGACCCGTATTTTTGGCTGTTGCTACAAATATACCCCAGCGACTTAAGACTGGTTTTGTGGTCCAGGGTCACACAAAACTGTATATATATATATATATATATATGTGGTCCCATATATACTATGGGGTCAGTGAGATATTTTGGAAAGAAATATTGATTTTATTCAGCAAGGAACCATTAAATGTATCAAAATTGAGAGGAAAGACTTTTAAATTATATAAAAAACCTATATCAAATAATCCTGAAAAAAAAGTATCACGGTCTCCATAAAAAATATTGGTCCCACTTTATATTAAGTGGCCCTAATACCGGTGTATTTACATAGTAACTAGATGTGTACATAGTATGTAACCACAGTGTAAGTACACATTGGTACATAGTATCTACAGCTGTAATGTTTGTGTAACTACACATATGTAACAACCCACTGAATGGTATGTGTAAAAACAAATGTGTAACTTTTTGGTAATGAAAGTACAAATGTGTAACAGATCTAACAGCACTTTTTGGTAAAGAAAGTGTTACACTTTATATTAAGTAAAACAATTCCTATGGATTTACCATGTTTAAAATGCAATTCAATATATTTTTATTGCACTTCAAATAAGCATGTTGGGAATACAAATGTATTATAAACATACTACTTGAATTTCAAGTATATTTTCAATACATTTAATACTACGTCTTTTTCACCTGGGCAGCCATGCCCGGTCCCACTTTATTTCCCCCTATTAGAAATTAAATTTGCGTGCCAACGGCACATGGAAAGAAATCACAATTTTTTTTGTTTTTCGATGAGGGAAGATGGGACATTGTATTTAGCAAGGCGCAGGAGCCACTGGAGGTCCTCAAAGATGACGAGGTGTGTTTAATTGCTGCTCCGCGTACCACCTTGCTGGAAGTCAAGCAACTTTTCCACAGGCTCAGGCTGAGAGGAGCGTTACCATGGATACGCAGACTCACCGCGACATGTGACCGCTGGTTAATTCTGATCAGGTCTCTTGCTTTTTCTCTGTTCCTGTCCCTCTTTCGCTCTCTATTTCCTCTGCTCTCTATTCCCTCCCTCCATTCCCAGCCTTACCTCTGAGCCTGGGAGCGGAATTCTGGGAACATTTTTCCATGTGAAACGCCGAGCACCAGTCGAGGGGTGTGACGCCACTGCATTGTTTTAGCCGGCAAAAAGAGGAACCGCGCGCGATGAGGCCAAATCCTGTCCACTCCAAAAAAACAGCCACTTTCTCACACTGGCTTCCTTCCTCGCTGGACAGCTCAAAACAATCCCATAGTCGTAGGGCCCAAGGAGTGTGAACGAGGAATCAGCCGCACAGAGAGCAAAAGGGAAGCGGGCCTTTTTCTATCGGTTTATGCAGACTGTTTATGAGCCTTTGAAAACAAACAAAGGGGCAACACTACTCGTGCCCCCCCTCGACAGCCACCAACTGACACCCACACAACAAAGAGTGAACGGGCATTATATCACCGCGAAACAACTAAGCCACTCGGCTGCTGGATATTTTTTTCACTCAAGCTGTCTTGTTGCAAAAACAATGAAAAATCCTTATCATGAAAAATGGTTGGCTGTTCCTGAGGGCAGCCTTTTTTTTGCCTTTTCAATGTTCAGCTAAAATATGTACTGTCACCTGGGAAGTATATATATACTATTTAATCCAATTTTGAATCAAGGTTAGGTGTCAATGTAAAATTGTTCATCCACTTTCATAGTGTTTTACCCTTTTCTGATAAAACACATCTGTATGAATTCTTGTGGCATTCTAGCAATGATTAAGAGTGGGGGCCGGAGGAGTCTGCGGATCCAATCAGCGGCTTGAGTGGCATTCTTGCTCACTTGCACATGAGCTCTGACTTTTCAGTGAGGTCAGGAAACCGTCTCATCTATGAGGATAGATTCGGCTGTGGTGGTCTGTCTTCAGCTGTAGCGCTGTTCTCAGGTCAGGAGTTTAACGAGTTCCAAATGTGTGCATAAGGCCATGGAAAGGCTGCATACGTGCCTCCACTTGCGATGACTCAGATGGCTCCCCCTCAAATTCTCCGCTCTCATCAGTGTAACTTGTTGGTAATGAAAGTACAAATGTGTAGCAGGACTAACAGCACTTTTTGTCCTGTTGCACATTTGTATTTACACAAACCATTCGGAGGGTTGTTACATGTGTGTAGTTACAGAAATATTACAGCTCTAGATACTATGTACCAATGTGTATTTACACTGTGGTTACATGCTACGTACAAATCTAGTTACTATGTAAGTACACAGGTATTAGGGCCACTTAATATAAAGTGGGACCAAAATTTTTAGCAGCACAACTGTTTTCAAAACTGATAGTAACAAGAAATGTTTCTTGAGCACCAAATCAGCATATTAGATTCTTGTGGCATTCTAGCAATGATTAAGAGTGGGGGCCGGAGGAGTCTGCGGATCCAATCAGCGGCTTGAGTGGCATTCTTGCTCACTTGCACATGAGCTCTGACTTTTCAGTGAGGTCAGGAAACCGTCTCATCTATGAGGATAGATTCGGCTGTGGTGGTCTGTCTTCAGCTGTAGCGCTGTTCTCAGGTCAGGAGTTTAACGAGTTCCAAATGTGTGCATAAGGCCATGGAAAGGCTGCATACGTGCCTCCACTTGCGATGACTCAGATGGCTCCCCCTCAAATTCTCCGCTCTCATCATCCTATTGTTTTATTCTGTGATGCATTCAGCACGCATGGACACTGACTTTCCCTGCCCCCATCTATCTATGTAATATATATGTGTGCGTGTAAGTACACAGGTATTAGGGCCACTTAATATAAAGTGGGACCAAAATTTTTAGCAGCACAACTGTTTTCAAAACTGATAGTAACAAGAAATGTTTCTTGAGCACCAAATCAGCATATTAGAATGATTTTTGAAGAATCATGTGACACTGAGGACTGGAGTAATGGCGGCTGAAAATTCAGCTTTGCCATCACAGAAATTATCTATTTTAAAATAGATTCAAATAGAGAACATTTATTTTAAATTGTAATAATATTTCACAATTTTACTGTTTTTACTGTATTTTGGATCAAATAAGAGCAGCCTTGGTGGGCAAAATACTTTTTCAAAAAGATTTTAAATCATATTGACCTCAAACTAGGTGCAAACTAGGTACTGTGCACTGACAAGCTAAAAGTATTTTTTTTTTCTGACAGTGTATAGATATATATTGCATATATATGGTGTATACTGTAGGTATACATGGCCCTTGCCTCAGTTTTCCCTGGGTGCCCGCATGCAATAGGCTTCATTCAAATTAAACACAGATGTTCACGGCTGCAGAGCTCCTGTCAAGTGTCTATATTAGGAGCAGATGAGCTTGGGCCCTTGACGAGGAGACCTGACCGAGTTTGTCTTTTTCTGAAAGTAAATGTGTGTTTACATTATGTATATAGAAACAGAACGGGTGAACAAAAACAAAAACAGCCGGGGTTGTGTGGCGTTTCCTGGCCTGTGTGCGTGCACTGTCCTTCGTCTCGCTCCACCCGAGGATGCTGTTTCTTTAACAGCTCCGCTCAAACACACACACACACACAGGCTGGGAAAAGCCTAGTCTGACATGGCCGAAGAAGGGAGCGAGCTCGGAGGAAGCACCTGTTCTTCCGCGGCCGCTGCTGTTGCGTTTATCTGACCCCAGTCACATCAGGTGGCTTCCTGGTTTGCGTCAGTTGCTGCTCCCTGAGGCCTGGCTGTCATTGGGCAGCTATGGCCCCTCCTCTTCCTGTTGCTGCCATGCTCATTGATCTTGAGAGCTTTGTTGCTTCCTGGTTTCTGAGAGGACAGCAAATTGGTGGGTGTTTGGACCTGACTGATGGAGTTTCTCATCAGCTGCACTCTGACATCTGCAAATACACAAGCACATGCACACAAACAAACCCTCTCAGATTGTGAGATTGTCTGGTTTCCTTGTTTACATGTGTATATATAAATAAATATATGTATGAATGCAAGAACTAATTTAAGAGGGTGAGAGAAATTCATTAAACACACATACAGTGTACTTGCTCAACCGCCTTGATGTTTACCAGCAGAGCTGTTTCTTAGTTAATGCGACACAGAACATTTGGGAAATGAAATGATGGTTGGAAAGCAACAGCAAACACACCACTTCCTACACGCATATAGAGCTCATAACATATGCTGGCGAGTTTTTATGAGCCACTCTCCAAGGCCATTGGGGTTTTGGGTGAAACAAACACTCTGATCTTGCATGCGAGCACAGTGGAGGAAAAGTGGACAGAAATGACAAGTTATGGGTGCTTTATACATTTCAGTACTAAAATAGTCTACAGTGGCATATCTTTTTGGCATATCATTATACTTAAGTTATACTTTTCACAGTTTTATTAAATACATTAAGTTGAATTGAGCTATTTTCGAAGGATTCACAAATATTTTTGCAACTGTAGAACACACATGGTATAACATCACGTGCATTTAAGCTACAGCATGTTTTTGTGTAGTGTTTTGTGGGTTGGTTTTGTGCATACTGTCACAATGTCTAATCAAATATTTAAAGGATTAAAGGTGTAGCGCATCACCTCTTTCTTTCCGAGCCCAATGTTACACAATGCCAGACTGATTAACATGTTTACATACCAGTGTTGTTATTCTTAACAGAAACTATTAAAATAGTTTTTGTTATTGAAATAAACCTGAAATAAACTTAATTGTAATTATTAAATGAAAAAAATAACCTGAAAAAAAAACGTATGAAACATGTTTAAGTAGCCTACTAAAATGACTAAAACTGAAATAAAAATCAGTTAAAAAACAGAAACTATAAAGATGTTAGAAGCACATAAAAATGAAAACAAAAATTTTAATGAAATCTCAAAATATAAAACTAAAAGCTTATTCAAAATATGAATAAATATTATAATAGTATATAAATAACACTAAAATAACACTGTTACATGCTAGACTAAGCCAAGTTACAGTTAGGTCTGCTAGCCTGACTGCACAAAAACCAGATGATTTCAGTCTGACTAAAGTGTTTACGTGTCATTTTAAAAAAAGACAAATGATTGCTTTAGTCAGACTGAAATCAGACTTTTAAAGTGCATGTAAACATACTTATCCTGACCTCACATAAACTCCACAGAGGTTGATTGACACCTAACTCAACAGTAGTATGAGTAATCATATATGGTGCCTCCCTTTGTGGCACTGCAGTGATCCTTTCACTAGTAAAATCCCAAAAGGAAAGCTTTCTTTTAATCACTTAAGGTATAGATCTTTTAATGGATGGAATTTTATTGTCACTAATGCTATACGACTAACAGGAAGTGTTTTTCAGAGAGCCCGACTGTGTGGCTATTGATTACTATGGATGTTAGCTGAAATTAATGGGACAGCATTTACAGTGTTATTGAGATCCTCTTTATTCGCAATTCTTTTTTGTTTTCTACTGACTTGTAAAGCGAAAATAATTGTTTTCTGACTTCCTGTTCATTCCTGTCCTGTCTATATCGGTCCTACTTACTGAGACATGGCAGATTCAAAAGACCTGTATCGTCTGCTTCTTTTACCAGAATCTTTGTTATCTCACTTCACAACAACTGTAGAAATGTCAGACTGAAACCTCTTATCTCCTCTATCAGAAAGAGCATATCTACGTCATGGCTCTGGGTTATGTGAGATGCATCAAACATGGAAGTTATTCCAGAGCGTCATCACTCATCCTGTAAATGCGGCTTCCTTGTGTCTTGTTTTCCAGCAGGTGTTTCTCCAGAATGACTCCACCCCTTCCCTTCAAAGCCGTCTTTGTTATGTCTGTTTAGGCCTGTTGTTTGTGAGGCCATTTCTTGTTCTGTCCTTTCTCAGATGAAGAAAATACCGAACATAATGGCACTGGGTAATTGCAAGGTAATTTCCTGTTTAATGACTGCGTTTGATGACTTTTGTTGTAGTAAATGGCATAGGCTTTAATGGTCCTCTTCTGCAGATGAAGGCCCAAACCAGATCATTCATGTTACTTGAGGGCATTTGGTCTGGTTGGGTCAAACGCAGCACTAATTTCTAAGAGACGATTGCCTTTTGACTGGGTCTCGGCGGTTCTCTGGTGCTCGTCTCTTGTGGTTTCGCCCCCCACATAAGAGAAAATAGACTCTTCATGGACTTCTCCATCCAGCCCATCAGCTGTGTCTCTTCATTGACAAAGCCACACTGATGGGCGTCGAACCAGGCATGCTCTTTGTGAATGAGTTTCTGAGGATGCTGTGGCCTTAAAGCTGGTTCAATAGCTGCTTTCCTGTCATTACCCCCTTCCCCCATCCCAACCTAGCCTTTCCCTCTGTCTCATTTCCTTTCTGTGAGTGCCACGTTTTGTGGGGGTCCGATAACAGGGGCACAGTTCCCATGGATATCCCCTATGGGAGAGGGAGTGATATTGGCCAGGGCACAGAGAGAAACAGTCACTACATATATTATATTGAACATAAAGATTGGCTGTGAAAGCAACTTAGCTCTCAGGCTCTAGCGCCAGTTACACCAAATATAACTAATATGTGCAACACAAAAATGAAAACAATCTCTGCTTCACATAAACTGGATTATAGATTCCAGATGTGCTTTAACAGTCTACTTCCCTTTAATGCTGTAATTCGTTTGCATTGTTTTACTCTTTTAAATGCCATGGACCCTCAAATATGATCATCCTTATGTTCCCTATTGTAAAATTTAAAAGGCAGTTTTTTCGTGTATAAAGACCATGTATAAAGATCTATACTGTACAAATTAATAAATGTGTAAAATAAGATTTGGGAAATATTTAAAATATTTAGCACTGTACTGTTAGACCTACTATTTATTTTATTACTTAATTCAATTTTTTTTATTTAATTTTATCTTATTTTGAAATTTTTTTTTTTTTTCAATTCTCTTGTGGCCTTCCAGAACCCAGTTTTAAAACCTCTTGTTTAAGAATGAGAGCATCTTTGCATAAAAAAATGCTGCTGTGTTCTAAAACTAATGGTACATATGTATATGCATAAAATTCCACAAAAAAAATATTTAGTCAAGTTATACATTTTTAATTAAACTGAACTGTTTAGTATTTAATGAAATAAGTTTGTCATCTTTGATTTATTTTTCATTAACTGTTGCGGTGCGGTGCCCCAAATGATACATCTTGCTTAAGAAGTTTGGTTAAAACCAGTTATTTATACAGTTTTTGTGTCAAGACTAATACCTTCAAATGCTGCTTCCTAGGTATCGCACTAGGTTCTGAAAAACACAGCTATCTGTCTGTCTGCACAATGGAGTGGTATGATGTTATTGTGTCACAAATTTATACATAAACAAAAGCAAAAGCCACTTAGTTTGTTTTCTTAGGAACACTGTGGGTCCGCAGTGAAGCTGCCAAGGGACAGGGAGTGGATATGCCCTCCGATATAGAGCAGGGCCCTTGCCTGTCAACAAAGCAAAACCAAGCTTTGTTTCTGGCTCTAGTTATAGTCTCTCCTTATTTCTTTGACATCAGCAAGCAGTTTCCTTTTTTTTTTCATTCCAGACATCATAACCCCAGGGGAACGATGGGCTGATTTCCCCCTGCTTTTTGTTTTATCTCATAATACATCTCTCAGCACTGTTTCTGTAATTGCATTGCAGTTGTATAACACCTTGTAGTACTGCTTAAAGGCTAAATTCCAGATAATCAACAGAGGGGCATTAGGGGGCTCCTTTGGTAGCATCTGAAACCCCCCGAGGACAATTATGAATCACAGGGTAGATGAGACCTTGTCTGCTTTTCTGTATTCTTGCATGTGCAGTCTTGTCTAGATCTGAGCAGTGTTGGGCAAGTTACTTCCAAAATGTAATACATTATATATTTGAGTACACTGGACTGTGATGTACACGAGATGTTGCTCTTTGGAATCTTGTAGAGAAATACTACAGACATAGATGCATGAATTACCAGAAAGGCCTCTATTTTATTACCCATGGACCTGCTGAGTTTAGTTATACTTTACCATTGGCATCAGTTTTTTGTGAAAGAAATTAATACTTTTATTCAAGGATGCATCTTATTTTTCAAAAAGTGACAATAAAACAAGATTTCTATTTCAAATGAATGCTACTCATTTAAGTATCACTGTTTCCACAAAAATATTAAGTGGCACAACTGTTTTTAACACTGAAAACATTTTGTTTTGCACCAAATGCTGATTTAAATAATAATGGCTGCTAAAATTCAGCTAAGAAATGGAAAAATAGAAAACTGTAATAATATTTTATATTTTATATACACACACACACACATATACAGTATCTCACAGAAGTGAGTACACCCCTCACATTTTTGTAAATATTTTATTATATATTTTCATGTGACAACACTGAAGAAATTACACTTTGCTACAACGTAAAGTAGTGAGTGTACAGCTTGTATAACAGTGTAAATTTGCTGTCCCCTCAAAATAACTCAACACACAGCCATTAATGTCTAAACCGCTGGCCACAAAAGTGAGTACACCCCTAAGTGAAAATGTCCAAATTGGGCCCAATTAGCCATTTTCTCTCCCCAGTGCCATGTGACTCATTAGTGTTACAAGGTCTCAGGTGTGAATGGGGAGCAGGTGTGTTAAATTTGGTGTTATTGCTCTCACTCTCTCACACTGGAAGTTCAACATTGGCACCTCATGGCAAAGAACTCTCTGAGGATTGAGGTGTCGTCTGCCGCTCGTCTGAGAAACCACACTCAGTCTTGAGTTTTACACACAGGCATATGGGATTATAATGGAAGTATAACTGGATATATTAATGGCAAGATTCGCCTTGATTATACTTGATTAATTCCTCTTTGGATTAATAAAAATCTTCTACATTCCTCCCTTTGAGACTTAGTAAGTCTCACATTCACTTTGTATTTTTTACCCAGAGTGCTACTTCATAATTCAGGCGTATTAGTTAACACTACCTAGTGACTAAATGCTTGGGCAGAAGATAGGCTAGCACTTATACCCAGGCTATTGTTTTCTTGTCTTTTTTCTTTTCTTTCCGTCTTTTCCGTGAGAACTTTAGTACAGTGGTCCAGATGATGCCAGGTTGTGCTTCCCTCCACTTGGACTGCTGCTGGAGTAGCTCTCACCACTTCGTAGGGTCCCTTTTCTCCTGGGCTCATTCCATTTTCTTTTTTCCTGTAAATAGATATAGATCTGCTGATGGTACTGCCTCCACCCACCTGTTAAATCTGTCTATGATCACAAGCATGTATTTTGTTCCTTGTACTCACTTTATCTTATCCACATAGTCCATTACCAAATGCCAGTTGTGCTGCTTAATATTTTTTAGTTCTTGTGATACTTTTTTCAGTATTCTTTGATAAATAAAAAGTTAAAAAGAACAGTGTTTAGAAAAGATCTCTATTTTGAATAAATGCTGCTTTTTAACTTTTTATTCAACAAAGAATCAAAGAAAAAAAGTATCACAGTTTCCCCCCAAAAAAATTAAGTAACACAACAGTTTCAACACTGATAATAAATCAGCATATTAGAATGATTTCCGAAGGATCATGTGACACTGAAGACTGGAGTAATGGCTGATGAAAATTCGGTGCTGCATCACAGAAACTAATTATATTTTAAAATAGAAAACCAATATTAGAAATTGCAATAATATTTCACAATATTACTGTTTTTTTTTTCTGTATTTTTGATCAAATAAATACAGACATGATGAGCATAAGAGACTTTATTTTAAAAAAAACATTAAAAATCTTACTGATCCCAAACTTTTGAATGGCAATATATATATTTGATTAAATAAATGCAGCCTTGGTGAGCATAAGAGACTTTATAAACATTTAACAATCTTACCAACCCCAAACATTTGAACAGAATTATGGTGGAATGTTTGAAGTTTTTATTGAACACACACACACATTTGTTTCTGTGAATTGTGGGGACTTTCCATAGACTTCTATTACTTTTATACTGACCAAACGATATTTTCTATCCCCTAACCCAACCCTAACCCTAACCCTTACAGGAAACCTGTTTGCATTGTTACACTTTCAGATAAACATCATTTACTATTTTTAATATTTTTTTCCCTCGTGGGGACCGCAGGTCAGTCCCCACAATGTCAAAAATTTCAGGTTTTAATATCCTTGTGGCGACAAGTACACACACACACACACACACACACACACACACACAAAAGTACTGTAACAGTACCACAGCACATTAATGATCAAATGGTAATACCATGGAAGTGAATGATTTACATATCCAAAAATGGCCAAATTGCATTATCATGGAGGCATGTCCAAAAACTACCATGTAACTTTTTGGTTATTTTTGTGTTGTGAGAATCACACCGAATTCAGATAACATACATTTTAAGAAAAGAGGATGAACCTTTGATACTAGTAAAAACAGACTGTAATTGGCGTCAGATTAGAAAGTCATGTCATTTGCAACATTTTATTACACAATATTTTTGTGTTAAAACAATGAAGGGTAATTCATCCTGCTGTCTAATATTAGTAAACCAGTCTCTCTCTCTGTATAGAGCAATGTCAAGAACAATAAAACCATCAATTCAAAACGCCTTTTCAGCTTGGATCTATTATTACTGGCTAAAGATCTCATGCCATTCTCAGAAAAACATGAAAGTAGGTCCACATGAGGTCATGTGAGCAGAGGGTGGTTTTTGCTTTGTTGAAGCCCAGAGAGTGATCAGCAATCAGGTGCACAACCGTCCTGGGATTTATATTTAAAATGTGAACAGCGCTGAAGACTATTAGTTATGACTGTAACAAATTCACATCAAACAGGCATATGACATTAAATAGACCATCCTGTAAATGATTTCCTCCGTTTTTTAAAAATTCTCATGCTTCTGACCACACATCTGGATGGCTGTCATGATGAAAAAGATTCAATATGGCACGGTTTGTTTTCGCAGAACTGCTTTCACCCAAACATTTATGTGGTAATAGAGAGGAAAGGACTTACAGAAGGCTTTGTATCGGAGTACTGGCCCGTGGCTGACAGGAATGTGACGTTGGTCATCCCTGTTCAGTGTTACACGGGGTGGTTCCTCACCCTTCAGAAATACGGGCCAAAAGAGCAGTTTTTTTTTTTCAGATGTAGACCGCATATCTTGGCACATATTCAACTGCGTATACTCATATGTTTTTGTTTGCATTACTGTGTTTGTGGTAGTTGAAGCCTCTGGGCATGCCTGTGTTGAATCTCTCATTGAGGTCCTCACAGATCCATTTCAGGACGCCCTTCTGCTGTTCTTCATCAAGAATATACAGAGGTGATAGAAGTGAAAAAGCACTAGGAAATTGTATGAAAGTACTTAAGCATTTTGAAGTTAAAAGTCTTTAAGCAATAAGTACTTATCAAAATGAATTTAGGCTAAAATAATATTTAAAAAATGTAAAGTAATTTTAGAAATTAATAAAACACAAAAAATGCAATTAAAAAAATTACAAGTAGTGTGGTACTCCTATTACCCATCATGCTTTGTGACTGCGATAAAGACCATGCTTATTTTTTAAACTATATAAATTAATTATTAAAATTAAGAGGTTGATTAGAGGAAGTAAAATAGTTATAATATACGTAAAATATGTAAACAATTAATAACTGTCCTTTAACTGTAAAAGACTGTTAAAATGCTGTTAAAATGGGTTAACAGCAAGTTCCTTTACGGAGAAAAGCGGTTCAAACCTAACATTTCATGTAATTTTACAGTAAAAATATTAAATGTAATATTTAATTTTTAGAAGTCCAAAAGAAAAAGTCTTACTGTATAATTTATAATGAAACCCATTTTGTTTAAATAATTGTGTTTTTTTAAATAGTTTTTTTGTTATCACTTAAGTACATTAGTGGTTTATGTTACGTCTTATGCTATTTTATGAATATTTATCGCTTTATTTTTGTGCCATGTGTTTTACCATGATGGTGTTTCGTATTTTTGTTTATGATACACTTATTATTTACATCAGCTTGTGGAAAAGCTACTTGTGATGAACTTTGATTCTTCTTGTGGTTTTTGCTTTATCACCTGTTATGGTAGTTGTCAGTATATGTCAGTAGCAGCGTGCCTTGATAATTCCTTCTTTCATTCTCTGATAATTACTCCATTTTTTGTAAATAACAGTTTTAAACTGTAATATTTACAGGTTGTTCTGTAAATATATTTGACTGTATTTCTACAGAATTACAATCACAGCCGACAGTTTTTTCTGTAAAAAATTACAAGATTTTTTTACAGTGTAGGTATTATACACTTGTGTATATTAATGTTATACATTTTTAGTGATATAGTTAAAATTGTAATTGTGCCAGCCTACATTTTACACTGAAATACACAATTTTATTAGAGTGTAAGTTCAGTAAGAAGGCCAAAAAGATTCATAATCACATACAAGAAAAAGAAAAAAACAAACTTTCAAGGTGGTTTTTGCCTTGAGTAGATTTTTTGATTGGACAAATGCAAATACTCCATATTTCTTCCATTTTCATTCCATATTGGCACTACTTTTGGCAAGATTTCTCAGTCTGATGATTAATCTCTGTTTTTTCAGTGTTTCAATCAAATCCATTCATGATTAGTATGTGTATGTGTCTGTCACACTTTTCTCTTTACAAATGGATTAATCTCCCTGTTGCCACAGTGCCCAGATGAGAGATGTTTATGAAATGGTTTTAAGCAGAGAAGGCCACCCAGTGCCTCTGTTTGTTTCCATCTGTACTATGCAGGTGCATTGTAGAAAGACAGGCCAAATGGAATGGAAGGACAATGGAAAGCTGGCATTAGCAAGCCAGTGGAGGGGGACCAGGTGCAGTCCAGAGCTGCGATCAGACAGGGTGGGTACATAAATAACCCTGTTAGTGTGTGCAGAGTGGCATTATCGCTCCCAAACTGAATTCTGCTAATAATTAGTTGATTGATTGTAACCCAAATGGTCACACTTTTTGAAAATGTGCAAAATATTTCACTAAATATTTAGCTGTTATATTAGACCACCCATAAAATATGCCGGGATAGAGATCAAAATAATTTATTTTGCAGCATAAAAATTCTAAATTGCATGCAGAAGTTGCGCTTATTTATTCAAATGGACCCCAATGCACAATTACAGCACTGTTTCTTACTCTCACTGCCGCCGTGTAGCACCAGCTTCAATGAAACATTAATGAAAGAAAAAGAATCCAGGATATCACAGTGTCTAAACTGTCGGTCCATTAGTTTGTCATGTTTAATGCATAAATCAAACAAGATTCTTTCGGAAAGCCTTTTCCGTCTGTATGAAAATCAAGACAGAAGGCATATATCTCATTTCCAGACCGAGCAACATGTGGAAAAAAAGCCATCAGAAGTGATCGTGTGACACCTGCAAAGCCGTTCCCTCTGTTTGTCCTTGTGTCTGTCTGCGCTGCAGTGCCAGCCTTGTGGCCTTTGACTGTTGATGGTGATGACAGCTTTTATTTTTCCACTATTTTATCGTAAATACAGCTCACGGCTGCCAAAGACATAAAACGGTTCACAGACCCGTAAGCAAGATATTCGAGTGTGAACAAATGCTGCTTCAACTGTAAAACATGCTGGGATAAGCTGCCTTTGTATATATGAGGCTGCAAAAACCACTGAAGCAGATGCTGATAAAGCTGAGTGAGACAATAAAGAGCCCTGAAAGAAAAACATGTTCAAGCACGTTCGGAAAACTATAAACATGATTGGTTCTGTTTGGTTCACTTATCAGTGTTGTTAGTTCATGGTCCAACTGTGAAAGTGAAAGTAACGTTTCTAAAACAAACAATAAAGAGAATTAGAAGAAAACTGTCTAGTCAGCCGCCTCCTACTATAACATTTGTCACTGCTCCATATATAGCACATTGACCTGTTTTCATACCTTTCATACCGGTATAGGTCACCTGAAATGAACACTTGTGACATTATTTACACTAAATAGCTTTCTAAACACATATTGTATTACTTTTAGTCTTCTATGAATTATGAGTTTTTATAGCAGAATGTCAAAGCTCCTCTTTTCCACACAATGAATGTGAATGGTAACCACAGCTGTCAAGCAAGATTTTCAGTCTTTTCCTCACACAAAATGATAATATGGCTAACTATTTTATAATGCCTGAAAGCTCCTGGTCCACATTCACGTTCATTACTGAGAAGAGGGCAGCACAAACATACAAAGTCATACAGGTTTGGAATGACATGAGGGTTAGTAAATAATAGAACTTTCATTTTTGGAGTGAACTTGTCTATTGAGAGATAATCTAATGCTATCATTGAATTTTACATTACATAATCTCACACAAACAGGAAAAAATAGTTATAGTACTTCTTGCCATTCAGTCAGAGATTCAGAGATAAACATTGTTTTATGGCTACCATTCTGAAAACATACATTATGTCACCCGAGACATGTAACCTTGATTTACACACCGCCTCTAGCACGGGGAGCGGCTTATTGCTTCGTTTTTTCTCATCTATTGAAAGTTCTTCTAAGAGATGGATGGAAACCAGGTGCTCATTTAACAATAGAAAAGACTTTTAAAGTTTTGGACGTAACTCAGGCTGACAGAGTGCATGTGCATGCTGAGCCTGGCACGCAGCTGTATCCGTTTGCAGGGAAATTTTAAGGTTAGTCAATGATGTTACATCTGTTTCCACCTGAGTCCAATAAGACACAAACCTTGATGAGGACATCACACCAATGTGTTTTCAGATCAGATCCAAAGGCTCAGTTTTCATTCCATTTTTTTCTAAATAAGATGTAATTTTTCAATTTTGATGTAACTATTGAGAAAGACAAACAATTGTGTATTCAGTGTCGTGGCACACTAAACATTTAGATATTACTTACTAGTCTATTACTTTGGCAAAACAACAAGCTACTTTAGCCATTTGAAACCTATTAAATATATTTAACAAAGGATTATATGAGAGAAATTATTTGTGTACTATATCATTTTGATAACTTCAAACACTTGCAGAGGAAAAAATATGAATGTGTTTTTGTGCATGTCTGAGGCTCATTTTCCCAAATAAGAAAACATGTTGTGGGAAATAAATTAATAAATAAAATTCAAAGTTTGGATGTTGACTACATTTAGCTTTTAACCGCAGTACTGGCAGTGCTCCTGTAGCTGTAATCCAGTTTAGCTCCTCTCTAAAGCCAATGAACTGAATTAATTCGATACCCCTATCAAACCTGCCCTTCACCGAGGGCCAACGCCACCATTAAAACTCCTCCAGCAAATGTTAGTCTGTAATCTAATTGCATTTAATGGCCACATATTTCTATGGATTGTGCTTAATCCCACCACTGTAATCCTGGACTACAGGAAAACATGAGAGCAGATATTAGAAATTAAGAATAAACGTTATAAATGAATGAATGAATAATCAATCAGAAAAATTAATTAAAATCAATTAATTAAAAATTATCAGTTAAAAGTAAAAAAAAAATAAAGACTTGAAATAACTGAAAAACCTAAAAAGGATAAATTTAAAATTCTCAAATAGAAAAACTATAATATTAAATATGTATCTATTTTTAGGCATTTTGTCCTATTTCTTTTAGAATAAAATGGTTACAATTGTATATTTTATTAACATATTGCTTTGTAATTTATTGTATTGTTCTATAAACTTTTTATTATTTATTAAAAGACAATATTTTATATATATTATTTTTTAAATATGTATTTAAAATATCACTAGAAACATTAATATATATACAGTGGGTACGGAAAGTATTCAGACCCCCTTAAATTTTTCACTCTTTGTTATATTGCAGCCATTTGCTAAAATCATTTAAGTTAATTTTTTTTCCTCATTAATGTACACACAGCACCCCATATTGACAGAAAAACACAGAATTGTTGACATCTTTGCAGATTTATTAAAAAAGAAAAACTGAATATATATATTAATACATTTATAATAATGATATATAAATCTTTTTTTCACATGTAAATACTTTTTTGAAATTAGTCTTAAATTTTAAATTAAATACACATGTTCATATTGAAATTTGCTAAGTTGCTCATGATCGAAGACAGTGTATATATATTTTTAGTGAATGTTATTTTATTGTAATGCCACCTGCTTTGTGCTGTTGGCCATGCTGGTGGATACAGAGAAACAAGAGAAGCAGAATCCAGTTCAGGGTTCAGAGAGCTCAAACTCTGAGACGCAGCTCCGGTCTACTGCTGACTCATTGTGTGTGCCAAGTTTCCCTTGCTGAGCTGTACAACTTG